TTGCAACAATTCTTTACCAAGAAATACGTTTATGACAAAATTTTGGAAAATGGGCGTAGCACCGCCCACTTGTGATCACATATATGTATCTCGCTAACCGTTCTAGCAATTTGTACCAAGCTCGGTATGGTTATTGTGCTTGCCACATAAAAGCAAACCGTTGAAAATTGTTGAAATCGGACTAAAATTGAGGCCGCTTTTCATATAACGGTAAATTTCAGATATGCTTGAAACTGCAATATTTCGAAATTTAAGGACGCTAATTTACTTAAAATGTATACACCCCGGCTTATCATGTAGCGGTAGCTATGGGAAAGGTGGAAAACATATATTTAATACTTGCGCCGGGTATTTAATGTTCGGCTCCGCCCGAACTTAGACTTTCTTACTTGTTTTTTTTTTTTCAATTTATTCATAACCGATTTTATAAAATTTGTTTGCTGTGTTAACTTTTTTTCTATTTGGATTTTAATTTAATTTTTTTATAATTTTATAAAACTATCATTAGCTGTTTTGCTTTGGGTTTGTTTCTTTGAAAATTTTTTAGCAAATTTAAAAAGTTTTCATTTTATTTTTTATTTCAAAACTCTTGTAATTGTTTTTATTTTGTTGTTTTGAAAGGTTTCGTTTTTTTTTTAATATTTAAAATTAAAAAATTTATTATTTCGAAGTTTTATTATATTTAACTTAGTTTACTTTTTGATAATTTTTTAGGTAAATTTTTTTTTAATAATTTCTATTTATTTTGTAATTTCTTCCTTTTGTCTTTGAATTTTTTTTTGTAAATTTTTTTTTTAATTTTTCCCATTTTTTGGTTTTATAATTTTAAATTTCTCCTTATTTATTTATTTGACTATATCTTACTTATGTATTAAATTTCTTATATTCTTTTCAATTACTTTTCGATTTTTTTTTTAAATTTGTATATTTATCTTAAAATGTTTTTTTAATAATTTTTTATTTTTTATTTCTTTTTAAATATTTTATATCTACTTTCTCTTTTTTATCCGTTACTTTTGTGTATCTTTTTTCAAGTTGTTTGCTTTTTTGATATTATATTTGTAGATTTGTAGCAGATTTTTGAAATTATTTTTAAATTTTTTCTTGTTTCTTTATTTATATAGTTTAGCACTTATAGTGTAGCACTTTAGCGCACTGTTATTAGTTTCGTTGTACCACATTTTCTTATATTCATTACTTACGCCTGCCCAGATCAATCAACGTACGACCGTGAAATGTTACATATGACTTTTAGATTGTTAAGCTCGATTCTCCCACAAATTTCCGTTTCTTTTTTCCGTTTTTTCGTAGCTCAATGTAATTTGATCGACTGATTTGAAAACACAGCTTTAAAAGTAATTATTATGGAATATTTGTTGCTTATTAACCGCAGCACAGGAAATTTGAGATTACGTTATTATTTTCTGCAGATATTGGCTTTCATTGTAAAGATGTTTTAATCATACCAAATCTAACTACTGTGGAAATAAGAGCAATAAACAAATGGCTGAGTGAAAATATGCAGCACTAGATATGGTAGCCTTGAAAGAATTGAAAAATATATGTTGCTGAATAATGGGTAACATTTTCATGCTTGAAAAACAGTATACATAGATTCAATTCAACTAAATCAAAATAATCAAGGTAATACCTAGTACATCCAATGTGCCATTATTTGCAATACATATTTTGCTGTTGCATTAGTTGCTTTTCTTGGTTTCAAGTGAATGAATAATCTTAGAGCGGGCATGCAACCTAACTCGCTCTGTCATCGGGACCCGATTATTTTTTTAGGGAATATAATTGTGTAGTAAGAATCGCCCCCAGGTACAAAAATATGTTACGAATATATGTAAGTACTTACGAATGTTTTTAAAGCTTCTATGAGTAGTGTTGGTAAGCTTACCTGTAATGAAAAGAGAAAAGTATGATTTAGTAAAATATTTTTCATTGTTTTAAAAGATATAATAAAAATAGAAAATATATAAAATTTATTACAACATTAAACTAGAGGCATAAATCAGCATGTTTTTTCACAAGTGATTCCGCGTAACCCTCTTCTCTTAAATTAAGGTATTCAAATTTCCTACGAAAATGTGCTCGCTAAATTTTACTAAAAGTGAGTTTTCACTTGCCTTGAAATGCTCAACTTCTATCAATAATTTCAATTTGAAATTGTAACTGTTAACACGATTGAATTACGTTTGAGAATTTCGGTGTAAGATTACCAATAAATTTTTATCAATCATGAATTTTCCTTAAAGGTATTCATAAATCACTACCTACTTTTTCAAAAGCGATTCAACCTAACCTTCATTAAATGTTCCACGAAAAAATTATACCTAAATTTTACTAAGGGTGTGTTTCCACTGTCACCAAATCGCTCAATCTGGGTCATCAATTTCAATTGCGACGAATTATTTCAATTTTAATACCAGTGCCAATACCAAAATTAAAGCTAGTAATAGCTTTTTGTTTTGTACTACTTCGTTTTTCTTATTTACCCGTCACGTATTCTCGTCATCATTCACAATTAGGAAATTTAAAAGTCACATTCACGAAGTTTAGGGATTTTCTTTTTTTTGTGAATGTCATACAAATTACGACTTCTAGGCACACAATTTTAGTTGATTTTTCTTTCTATAACCAAATTGAGTACCGAGTCGGGAATTCAACTGGAATCATGGCAAACTTAGGCAATCTGGTGCACGTGAAAACTCGCCATTATTTTCTCTGATTACAAAAATTACCTTGAAAGGATAGTTTCACCATATTTTCCTCCAAGCGAAATTTTTCAGTTTCCAAATTTATCTAGTTGCTTTGTTCAGAATGTCTGAGGCCTTAATTTTTGTGAACATACCAAGTAACAAAAAATAGGTCTTCGGCACTTTTAGTTGGAAAATCCGAAAGCATTAGTATATTAATTACAAAGGTGGATATGTATTTCTATTTTGTTTTTGCGCTTTGAACTGAATATACTGTCTTTGAAAAAAAAAAAATAACGCGGTGTTTTGTTTGAGGTATAGTATTTCATGAAAACTATATACATAGATTTTTCACAAAAAAAGGAGAACATTTAGCACACTTTAGAAAAAAACTGGCAATGAGTTGACTGGTATTCCGCATGAATGCTAACGTTCGAAGTTAGTTTGCCTAGGGCTCCAAACTTGCTGACTTTACTGCATCATCCCATCTAAAAATATCTAACGCGTGCCCCTGTATAACAAGAATATGGAAATATTCCGATTTATGAAAATAACGTGCCTAAAAAGCGTGACAATCCATGAAGAAACATTAGAGACAAAACCAAAATTTAAAAAGAAAGAACACGCCCTCAAAACACTCATTTCTCTTGTATCCATCCATTCTAATCCCAACAAATGCACTGTTTGTCTGTGGAAATAGAAAACGCTGAGTGATAAACCAAATACAACAAAGAACTGAACTGGAAACCAGAAACACAATTTGTCTTAGAACCAAAGCAAGAATAATGACATGCAAGCGCACTTTAAAAAAATTAAAAAAAATATATTCACAGGAAATGACAGGCATACAAATGATTTCCAAATGTTGTCGGCAGTGGTGGCAGAGCTTATGGCGGCTTCATTTACAAGCGACAGAACATCGAGTGAAATTATAAATGCCTACCAGTATGTACAGCGCTGAGCGGCAAAGCTGACGGTCATGCAAATTATTTACGGAGCACATCGCCGTTGTGAGCGTAGCAGCGGCGCTGGTAAGCTCCTAACAACAACAAGTAAGTATACACTCGTGAGCAATTATTTCCTAAATACAGTATACTATTTGATTATTTTCTTTGTACTTTCAGCTTTCAATTTTTGGTAAACATGCAGAAGCAACACGCCAATCATCGCTGCCAACAGAAGTCAGCAGCAGAAGAACAAACAACCAGCAGATTGGAGCACAAGCAGGCGTTAAACCGAAAAACAAACGTTAACATGCTCGCACGTTCGTCGTTGCTATGTGCGGCTGTTGTAAACCAAATATTTCACAAAACTCCCAATAATTACAAGCAACAAATTTTTTCTGCTGTCGGAACGAAATCGAAGCATGGGAGCTGAAAATAAAAGAAATAAAAAGAAAAAAATTTACAAAAACACGAAATCATACGAGTAAATAAATAAATAAAACGCGGCCGCTTCGCAACTCTTCTTCTTTTGCTGCCTGCGTACGTGTTGTATTGACACAGTTAGCCGCCAATGAGTCGCATTTGCCAGCCATGCGATGGATGCCTTCTTTCATGCTGAAGAAACTGTTTTTTTCGTTATTCACATGGCTTTCTTTCGCTGCTTCTGCATGCAAAACATGCGAAGGTGGCTGGCTGCCTTTTACAAACTTCTGGCCATAGGTAAATTACCAGCATGCCGAAGATGGCGCTGCTAAGTGGAGCTGTGTCCAAATTTTTTGACGTTACTAGCCCGAGTTGCTAAGTTTGGTGTATCTCTTTAATTGCAAACAGTTTATGACAGGCGTGTAGATTTTCTATTATGTGACTAATTATAAAAATTTGACCATATAAAAAGTGTTATGAATGTTTAGTTAGCAAGCTTTCTATGTATCAGCACTCGTATAAGGTGATGGGATTTTTTTTTTTATGTTTTCCAAGCTTTTATGGGAGCGTTTACGTCATAGGGAACTGTTATGAGCTAATTACGTACATACGCTGTATTGGTGTGGGGTTTTATGGAGTATGTGGCATGCTTTTGCCGAAAAGTTTAAAGCATTTAAAAAAGAGGAGATAAATCTTAAAACTATAGGCATTTTTTAGGAGAATTGCACTACATTCTTTTCTCATGTTTCAACTTGTTCGGATCGTGGAGATAGAGTGGTCAAACGGTATTTTTTTAATCTTTCTTTTTCTGCCTTTGGCTTGCACCAAAAAATTTAACAGAGAGCGAGAAATAAAATGGCAGAACGTCTTCGTATTCATCTTACAGAGAAAACAGTTCGATTCCACGATTTTTGGTGCTACGTTATAACAACGAACCGTAGAATCCACACCAAGGATCATCACCTCACAGTCCACTCGAGCTCCTGTCGAATGGAGAACAACGTACTATTACAACAATACAGCAAATGGATTGAACTACAGGGTAGCTACAAAGAATAGCGAGACTTTCAGAAGCGTTTCCGTCCAGAGCAGAATCCAGTGGGCGATAGTGAAATTTTCTTTAAACAAGTGGAAATGATTAGTACATTGTAGATTAGCATTGCAGTCCATTGATCCCACAACTTGCGACGTGATTTTGACCTACGTGGAACATTTTTTTGTAGCACGCATTTCTTGACTATTTTTTATCCAGAATTTGGGAAAAGTTCATTCTTTTAACCTAGTGTTTCCAAAGGAGCTCCTAAAGTATATTAAATAGTATAGAGCACTAAAGCTAATGGAATGATCAACAGCCACAATACAAAAGTGTTATGAAAATTTTATAAAACCAGACGAAGAGGAGATTAACAAACATTTTAGCAATATCATGCCCAAGCTCTTGCTTGGGAACGGTTGCAAAGAGCGTCTCAAACTTAGTGAAACCAATTAACTTCAAACACGCGGCAAAAATGGGTGAAATAAAAGCAACCGGCCTAAATGAAAATAACTTGTTTTTAGGTACAAATTAATGAGCTTGATCTCTATTCAACAAAAACTCAATCTGAGCTTAAGCTCACTTTTGATGTATTTATGATGCCCAAGCTCTCAAGTAAGGTCTCAAGCTCGTTATGTCCACTGATACAAATAAAAAAAAATTAAAGACCATGCTGAATTCAACAAAACTGCGTTAAGACTTCTTACCAGCATCATCACTGTGCACCCTTATATTTTAAAATTTCTCTTTGAGAAGTTCCCAAGACGAGGTAAGAATGCGGAGGAATCTACTGACCACTTTCAGTGGCTTTAAATTTCTTGAGGACTTAAAAAAATCTCCATAGAGCTTCCGAAAGTTTTCTGGTCAGAAGCCCACAGTAAGTCGAGGATTCTGCCAGGGCAAAAGTAGCTCCATATATCTTCTCATCAGATCTTGTGCAAGTATCTACTATACATACTTTTCTGAATTTCGTGCAACAAAAATAAAGAAACACTTTTTGATTAGTTCAATAAAATTGAAAGTGGCCTTGTGCAACCGCGGGCGATACATTTTTTCTATTAAAATATTTTCTTCACAAACTGTATTAAAATTTGACAAACATTTTTGCATTAATTTTGCTAATTTGCTAGTGAAAATTTTATTCGCGAAATTTTTGGGTGAACATAATAAAAACTATTTGAATGCAAATTAGCAACCAAAATAAAATTGAAAAATTAAAATTGACGAAACGACCAAGACTTGCCTCGTATGCGAGCTGATTAATTTTACGCTTGGCAAATCAAATGAATGCTGAGAAAGTGACAATAAAAAGAAAACAAGAAAGTGGAACCGAAATTGGTTGGTGTCAGGGAGAAGATCAATTTTGCAGACAAGGTAAAAATGCGGAATAAAAGAAGCAAAAATTAGCATAATCTATAATGAGAAAAAAACTATAGTATATATAAAAAAATATAAATATTAAAAAAATTAATAACAGACTTATGGAAAACCGGGTGTGGTTAAATAAGGGGGAGAAAAATAAAATGTAGGGAATAAAATTAAAAAAAGAAAAAATTATAAAAAACATGCAAAGAAAACGCAGTTTAATTATACTGAAAAACTAGTTTAATAAAAAAATCCGAAATAAACAACAAAGTTTGAAGAAAAATTAAGGAAGCCAAAAATAAAGTAAATAAAATAGTAAAAAGTTAAAAAAACAAAATAAAAAATAAGCTAACAAAAAGATATAGTAAGTAAACGAAAGAAAAATAGATGTATGTATGTACATATGTATGAACGTAAATGTGTACTATAAAATAAA